TTCTAAAAGTTATTTTTTATCAAAAAAAAACTATTGACTAGCTTTTTTTACTGTTGATCTATAATATTTTCATCAGATCTTTTATATTTTTCTCTACATCACTATAATTTTCAAGAAAAAATCGATAAAAAAGTAGAGGGATATCGCAATAATTTTCACAAATTATCAATAAAAAGAAGTACAGGGATATCGCTATAATTTTCACAAAAATATAAATAAAAGAATAGGGAGAGAAGATAAACGAAGAAGTGAAAAAAAAGAAAGTTTCAAGTATTCAAATTAGTGTTCACAACCGTAAGATGTCCTTTGTTTGTCCCTGTACAGCTGTTGCTAAAGTATAATTGAAGAACTTCGCTGTACTTTTTCCCTCGATCATATGCTTCTAGACATTTCCAAAATCTTCGGAAAAGTTTAAGATGAACTTCTTGCTGTCGAAAATTAATTCGTGATTCCTCGATCAGTCTTATCATTGTAGGATATTTCTGATCTGTTCTTTTTCGTACGAACTGTTTCATATGAGCCCAACACCCTTCAATGGCATTAATTTCGCAATGATACTTAGGACAAAATAGTACAGATACATGATATTTTTGTGCTAGCTGTTCCAATCGTGAAATCTAGGGAAGGAGAAAAGAAAAGATATTTTAAGTTTTCTCTATCAGGTGCGCAATATTACGTTTTGAAATGCGGGATGATGGGCAAGTAGCTGACGTAGCTCACTTAATTTTGCTGTTGGTGAAGGACTACATTTAAGTTCGATTGCAATCTGATATAAACCTTTAGATTTTCCTCGATTAGGACCGTGGAGAAAATAACATGATAATGATTGAGTAACACCCTTATCATCCACCCATTGAAGTTGATCTACAGGAGAACGTGTTGAAACTCCTTTTCCAAAGTCTAATAAATTATAAGCACGAGCTGAATGAGTGCGGGCATTATCCACTACTATTTCAATACTGTGATTATTAAAACATTCTTTGAATTCTAATAATTTAAATAATCGCTCGAATTGTGCTAATATGGTTGAATTATCAAAATATGCATCAGAGCTAATGTGCACAGATGCACTAGCAGAACGTTCTACATAATCAATTTCTTGTTCTTCATCTAACTCTGGATATTTCTTTAACGCTTTATCATATTCAGTTGGACTTAATTGAAAAAATGGACCTGATGGATGCATGACCAAAAAGTCTGATAACATATTAGATCTACCACGGCCTTTAGAATAAAATGGCGCCTGATCATTGTATAGCCAGCGTTTAGCTGACACCTCACCACTTCGGAAAGTGCTTTCATCATGAACTAAAAAGGAAAAATACAGGAAAGCAAAGCAGTATTTAGAGGAAGTCCTTTTTAGTCTATCAAAACATACAGATCAGAATAGTTGGTGTCCCAACTGTTGGTATTTGCCATTTTGGCTGTGCACCTTCGCTTATTAAGTAATACGAATCTTTCGTTGGAATAAAATGCTGTAAAAATTCTGTACGATGTTGGACTACGTCCGGCCGTTCTTGACCTTCGAAGTAAGGACGTTGCGAATTAGAATCGAAACGAGCGCCCCATCTTCGGAGGTCCAAACGACAGGATTGTACTGTACGAATTAATGAATCATTCGGATCTTTTTTAATATCAGTTATCATATAAAACTGTTCGTCGATAAATTTTGCTAATTCAAATGCATCAAAATCTGCTGCTTTTGCAGCACATCGTTGAACAGAATAATTTTTAGCTGATAATTCAATATCAGGAAATACATCATAAAAACTAGGAATATGTTTTCCACCCCGACCTTCGGCAAGAAAGTTCTCTAAACTACCAGATAAAAATATATTAGCCCATTTATTAGCTGTTTTAGTCGTTAGTGCACCGATCTTTTTTAAAAAATCATCACATTTAACCCAACTTATACCAAAATGACGAAGAGTCATATATAATAATACAGTAACAATTTTTAAATCAATTTTATCTTTAATCAATTCGAACAAATCTCCAATATCATCAATTTTCATCTTATCAGCAAAACGAATAAATTCATCATTATCATTATTATCCTGTTTAATTTCTTCTTCCGATACACTCTCATCTTCTGATAACACTCGTTGGTAATACCAACGCTTTCGTGCATAAGCACGTCGACCAAATCGACGTTTGTTCAATTTTGGCATAATCAATAATTAAAAAAAAATATTTAAAATGTTTTGAAATAGCGTGTTCAACTGGCAAAAAGTAACGTATTTATTTTTAAGGAAACGTATGTAATGAGGAAGGCAGTTGAAACAGCAATATTTATAGACGACAGAACAGTCGCTAGATAGAGAAAGATACCTGACGAAAAATATTCATTTAGCAATAGAGAGAGAGCATATAGTAAGAGGAAAGAACAGAACAAATATATATTCAGCTAGATATATGTAGCGAGAAAGAACACATAGACTGAACAGAAAGAAAAATATATATTAGTCAAGAATCGAAAGAGAAAATACCCCTCAAAAGAACAGAAAGCGAGTGCTCATAAGAAGATAAAAGTTGTTTTGGGACTTAGTTTTCATCACATTCTTATACTGAAATGATAAAAACAATTCAACTAAACACTCAATTAATCTTATGAAGAAATATACCCAAAACTACTAGTCAATAGTTTTTTTTTGATAAAAAATAACTTTTAGAA